TGCCAAACATGATTCACACATTTGTAGAGTCTTGACCAGAGAAAACAAAGCTCTCTCCCTCCTCCTCACCCCCCCCAAAAAAAAACAAAGAAGAGGGAGACAGGGCATAAAGAACAGCCACACTAACTATTACTTCTCATAGTAGTCAGCATGAGTGATGCTATATATAAATCCCTTGATATTCTTCAAGGCTATTAAACCCAATTTTGTTCAAAGATGGGAAAACAAGAGAATATTAGTTGTTGCAAAACTGCAAAAATTGGTATCACATTTGACAATTCATTAGCGTAATCAGCTGTGAATCCATAGTCTATGGCTATTGATTTAGCTTCTGAGTGACACTTTATAGCTAAATCTGAAGTAAGTTTGTATTACTTTATTCTTTGCATTTTACAATCTTGAAAACAGATCAGCTATCAGGCTTAAAGGAAAATACCATATGAGGAGAGAAGCCATGGCCAGAAGAAAGTAGATGTTGAGGATTTGTAAAGCAGACCACAGAACCACTAAGTCACTGACCAAAATCCATTTCCAGAGGTCTTTATAATAACAGCCACCAGGCTTACATTGACATGTCATGACTGTGCATGGACATCACACGGAGACCAGCACTGACCACCCAGATAACCAACTGGGAAGTTAACACAGTCACAGCGACAAGCAGATGGTATGGCCTGCAAAGGAGTGCCTATGGCTAAAATCATAACCGGAGCATAGCTGAGTAAGCAAGAGAGCTACTACAAAAGGTTGATTTTTGAATGCAGCAGTTCCATAATGACAGTACTGAAAGCTTTTGTAGACGGCATGCCCTGCCGTTCTGATTACAGCGTTTGCTCTGCTAAGGTATCCATGGAAACTTGAGAAAGAGATGTTAAATTTGCTGGATCTGTTTGGCAGCAGGGAATGGGGCTAGTTTCCAGTCAGCCTGGTATCACCACAGGTATTTTGATCTTCTAAGCATGGAGAAAGCATCAAGAGTCCTCAAATGGCGATGAAATCCTCAAGACCAAATTGTCACAGGAATGTTTCTCCCAAGCCATGACTAGGAGGTGGCAAGGGAGTACTAGAGAAACTGTGATTTTAATGTTGTTATTATCTCTTAATAGAGAAAAGTAGCCCAATCACTGTAATGAAGAGAGAGACACAAACACCCACTCTTCAGACCTCACAGGGAACAGGAGAAAAGAAAGTGTGAACACATGCGAGGAAAGCCTGCATGGGACAGGTGGACACTGAACGCTCCGGACTGTGAAACCGTCCAAGGACACCGCTTTGACCCTAGATAGCAGTCCTGAAAAGCACTAAGAACATGAGATGTATCCAAAAATGGACAAACCAAAGCAGTGTTCCCAGGTTATTCCCTATGGAAGAAGTAAGTAGCATAAGGAGAATAATTTACCTCTGCCTGCTTCCCCAAGGAAACCAGTGCAGGTCGGGCAGGCTCCTGCAATAGTTTTTCTTCAGAGAGAGTAAGTGAATAAACTCCCTCAGATGACATTAAATTGCTACTACGAAAATCCGTTCACATACACACTTCTTTCTAGACTCCAAATGATAAGAATGACTGGAAATATTTCTCAATGTTCGTCAGAAACTGCATCTGCAGAGAACGGTCTGAGAGTGCTGACTCAGGCACTGAGGAATTACTGGCAGAAAAAACAACAGATATGAGGAAAAACCCTCTCCAGGTCTCCTGTTTTTGTAAAGTAAGATGCTTTTAGGACTGATCCGTGTGCCCAGAGCCCTGCAAATCAATCCCAACAGAGCTACTGATTTGGGTTGGCAAGCACCAAACGACTCTCGCACACGCGCAGCTCACAGCAGCATGCTGGGGACGGGGCACATCACTGCAGCTCACGAAGCTGCTCTCCTATGTCCTTGACACACCCTGATGCAGTCCTGAGTAAGGACATTTAGTCAAGTCCTTAGCAAAGAACAAAGGCTTTCTAGCCTGAATGATGGCCTCCATATTCTGAGTATTTTAGTACATTTATTTGCTTACTTTATCAGAACTGACTGCATTTTCCTTTTCATTTACATGAAAACCTCTCTCAAATCCCTCTGAGACAGACTTTGAAGGAATTTCCTGTTTTAATACCCATTACTTTCACAGTTCACCACTGCCATCCTAATTTTAAAACACTGCAAAGTCACTGCTTTAGTAGTAGTTATGGCAAAATTTAAAACTCGCATTTGTTTATTTTAAATGCACATCACTATGCTTCTCCACAGCACATGGGCCACAGCTGACATACTTTGAGTAATGAGAGTTATGGAATGTTCTTTTTAAGACTAAAAACATGCCTGGTCACCGAGAGGAGGCAGTTTCAATTTAATGACCCAGGAATCAGAACATTTGTCACCGTGAAGAAGATGAAGTCTGCAGGTATGTCACAGGCATTTCAGATCACTGAAGTTCACACTTGGCAGCAGTGACACCAACATCTGTGACCCTACATCACCAGACAGCTGCACACTCTTCAGTAAAACATCTGTGAAGCAAGCGTACCATTTGCAATCATGACCAATGGACTTCAGACCTCATTCCTGAAATAGATTCCAAGTCCTTCTGGCCTGTCTCTCTCTCTTTCACCATTGGGAACATACAGCTAAACAAGCCTGGAGTTTCACTCATTTCTTGTTCCAACTAGCAAGGCTGCTTAATTGAAAAGTAGCGAGTGCTGTAGAGAAGCTGAGTAAGTAAGTACTTGAAGTCATTTATGGATAGACAAAATACTTTAAAGATTTCAGGAAGCTGCATATAGAAAATGTCAACATCTACTTTACTTCAAAAAATAAATAAAAGCCATATATCCAAACTCCCCAAAAAGGTCATATTGCCTCATATCTAAAGAAGGTCATGGCTGTTCTTGTTCTTCTACTTGGAAGTCGCATCATTCACATGCATTGTTTCTTATTCCTTTCGCATTTTCCCTTATCATTTACTGAGAGCCAGCATAGCTTTTTTAAATACCAAAAAAAGCCAAGTTGCTCATTCTCAATAACTACAGACTAAAACAGCCACAGAGAGAAGTTTCTAAATCCATAAACAGTGCGCTCTTTGAAGTTGAGCATTTGTGAAATCCCACCTGACACATCATCAAAAGGCAAAACCAATTCAGGTACAGAAAATGGAGGTGATGGGATCCTTTGGATGTTATTCTTTTAAAATGTAAAGTGTACTTTAAAGATTTTCTTAAAGAAAGAGTGTACTTTAAAGATTTTCTTTAAGAAAGGGATGGTTGTTTGGTGTAATTACAAATGGAATAATCATAGTAGAGGACAGCAAAAAGGGAATTAATCACCCAGAACAGCTTAGAAGAATAAGGAACTTGAAATTTTAAAATATTTGACCAGACCCATAGAAAAAAAGAAAACAAATCCAGACTTCATTGCAATAGCAGATACGGCATCCAGAAGGGGACTCAAAAATTTCAGCAGCATTCCGATCAAAGAGGGAGAAGTTGGCTACAGCAGGTCACAGCATCCACTCAAAAAAAAAAAAAAAAAAAAAAGGATTTGGCAGAAAAGAGCACAAGATGAGACAACTCACATACAACCCCAACCACCAGCGACATGGTCAGAAAGCAAAACTGATCCTAAATCTTGACTTTGACATGCAGGGATCAGGTCTTTTGTAGCTGAGGCAGCATTCTGGCCTTCCTGCGCAGAACCGGCCTCCTGAAGGCCGTTCTAACTCGAGCTGACACCCGAGGCTGCCGCAGCCTGTGCTGGCTCCTGGTGACAGTTGTGTTTGAGACACATCCCGGCCCCACCCTCCAGACTGGGATAAAGCCCCCTTACACCGTACGTGCACCGGCAAAACCACCTCTGGACAGAAGACACCTCCTGGGGCCC